GAATCAGGAAAGGATTACTGACGTTTGATCATATTTAGGATCCGCCTTTTGATATAATTCGTAGATATATGTAAAGTTGTTTACAGTATCCGGAATACATCCCGGCATTTCTTCTGGCGAACTAAATTTCAAACCTTTATCACTTCTTCTACAATCCGTAATACTTAATCCAATAATATCTTCAAGTCCTTTAAGTGCACGCATGGTAATTGTTCTATGAGACTAAGAATTATAAGTTAGTAATAATAAAGACATATAATAAAAGAATATTAAAGATAATAAATAATTGAATTATTATTCATTTCTTACATAAGGACATCCCAAAGAGATGTATAAATGATAGCGATCCCTGAAAATTATGAAAATTTTTAATAAAAGACTTGACAATAAAATAAGTGATAATAATAAATGAGACATTATGTACTTCTCCGGAGTAAAAGTTGAACCAGGATCATTGGAAATAGGATGATGAAATCCTGGATGTGTCATCGTAAATAATTTCCTTTGAATTAAAAAGTTTTTAAAATTTTTAAAATTTTTTAAATTTTTAACGAGCATTTTTATATCTGATATACATCCTTCCGTCAATAATGTTATTTTTATTTAAAGCGGATTCTATCCTGTTTAATTTATTGATATAATGGATTCATTGATATAATGAATTCATTGATATAATGAATTCTGTTTTAATTCAAAATTAATGCATTCTGTACGCACTTTTTTTATAGAATAAGATATGGAAATTTTTTTTCATAAATAACATAAATCTATATTTCAAAACTCAATTTATCTTAAAATTTTATTGAGAGAGAGAAAAATTATAACTAGGAACGAAGGTGAAAATCTATCTTTTATTAGAAATATTAGATAATGCATCGCGTCGCATTTTATTTTAATTAAAATAGGGTTACTTAGTAAAACACAAGAAAACATTATTAAAGAAAAATAAGAAAAATGAATTTCTCTTCAGTTCAAAGGAAATAAGATTGAATGTATATTTTATGCATATAATTTAGCAAAAATAGTAAACACATTATTTCTTCTAAATGATTATAATAAAAGAGAATAACTATCAATTTCCAGAAAACTTTGCTTTCATTACCAAAATAATAATATTAGTAATAATAAATATTTTTAATATATTTATATTTCAGAATGTGTTAATGAATGAAAGATGGACTTTATCATTGAGGAAATATAATTTTCATTTTCAGAATACGTTTATTGTACAAGACATAAATGTTAAAGGTAGACTTTATCATTGAGGAAATAGGTTTTTTAGCAAAGTGTTTAAATTCTTAAAATTTTAAATAGATATTGGAATAATTGTTATCCAAGTAAAAATATTCAATTGAACTTTATCTCCCTTCAGCTACTTTTAAGATGCTTTCTCCTCATCTATTATGGCACCAATTCCATCCCGTATTAATAAAATTCTCCAATACTTGAAAAAAAAATAGTTTTTCGAGACGTTATTTTTTTAATACTTTACACAACTAATTGTGTAAGTGTTGACAATCTTTTCAATCAAATACTTTGAGTTCCGAGATAACGAGATAACCTTGAAAAGTTTTATTATCATTTTATCATGGTTGTTATCTTTCAATAAATATTTTACTATATTGCAAGGAGTTTTACGATTTTAAGAATTTACATTTTCAAAACTAAAGAACTCTAGAACTAAGTTCTTATAAGAATTCCTATTACTGTACCTAAAAGCCCATATTTCAGGTGCCTATCGGATACCTATTGGAGCCTAATAGGTGTAATATAAGTGTAATTGGGGTAGTAATTTGGGCTAAAGAGTAGAACAGTTTAGGGCACAACAGGCTAAACTAAAAGGCAAATTGTAGAAGAACTTTTTGCTATGGTTGAAACTTTTATTTACTTCCTTAGGTTTAAGACTACTACCCTAGGTTATCACAACAATAAGATTAATAAAATTAAAAGATAGAAAAAATATGGGCAGGTTTAAGACAGTTTAGCTTAAATTATTAATTGGGGCCTATTGGTTATTTATAAAAATCAGGTATCCAATATATTTATAATTTTTATATCACCAATAAGTGTATTAAATATAACTGATATTTATTAATGTACCTGATATTTGTAATATATATTAGGTAGCCAATATATTAGAAGCTCTGAAATAGTTAAAAGAAATTTTCAATAATATACTTAACACAGGTCAAATGCAAAAGATATGCTATACTGAAAAGGAATTCCAATTTTAGCTGATTTATAATATAGGATGCAATAGGATAGTTGATTTTTACTAATTTTTTAGTTGATCTATAGTATAGGAATTCTGATTTTTAATATAGGAATCACCATTTAGTACAGTGATTCTTTTGTATTTGACTAGTGTAAAGAAGAAAAAGTACCAATAAACTAAAGAAGTAATGTAGTTTTAATTTCTAAATCAAAAGACTGGAAAGGAAATATAGGAATTACAAGACCAATTACACTTATGAAAACAGCATGAAAGATATTCATGAAGACTATCAAGACAAGATTATTAAAGGTATTAATGAAAACAAGATCTTAAACAAAAACAATTGGACAAGTCTTCCAGAGAGATGTATAATAAATCTTATTAACAACGTAATGGAAGAAGCATGAGAAAAAGGAAAAGAATACTGGTTACTATTTCAAGACATAAAGAAAGTATTTGATTCAGTAGATAGAGAATATTTAACACTAGTCAAATACAAAGAATTGCTGTACTGAATGGTGATTTTATATTATAAATCATTTAAAAATCATTAAAAATTGATTGTTTTATTGTATTCTATATCATAAATCAACTAAAATCAGAATTCCTTTTTGATATAATAATTTTTTTTATATTTGACTTATATAATGAAAGCAATAATATGAATCTAAATTTTAGAAGAAATAATTTTGATTATAGATTTCATTACAAAAAATAAAGAAAACAAAGAAATTATAAAATATGATAAGACAAAACTATACAAAGTAGAAAGATGAGTAAATAAGAAGATACTATATTACTGTTGTTATAGTGAATTTTTTATCCCTTAAACTGTTAAGCAAGCAAATTTACCTATTTAAATTATTTTTAATTTGCTTTTGTATAACCACAAAAGATTTTTATAAGCAAATTTCTTTTTTATGCAAATCACTGAGTGTGCTATGATGCTGAATTCCCCATAATTTCCTTCCCACAGTTCTTCTAACAAAAATCTAAAATTTCACCTTTCAAAAATAACTTCTGGAATTATAGGATTACTAGATCAAATGCACTACTTTCA